GACTCTTGGGTTGCAGTGCTGGCTGGGCTGCTCTCTGTCACCAGGCTTGTGGTGGTGAGGGATGTCTGTACTGTGGTGCCAGTCTCCAGGCTGGTGGTCAATTGCAGCGTTGTTGCTGGTGGTATGACTGAGGTCTTTCCATGGCAATGGCTGTCATCACAGCACAGGACCTTGATCTTGTAGTTAATACACATTTTGAACAAACCTTTTTGTTCCTCATTTCTGCAGATGAAGCCAAAGTGAACATCACAATGGACAACCTGTCCTACCTGCTCAATAGTCATGTCAGGGTAGTTCTCTGCCTGGCATTCAATGCCCTGAGGTTCCTGACAAAAGTCCTTTCCCGTCTTCCTGATCTTGTCATATGTCTCAATGTCTCCATCAATTTTTTCTGATGTGGGGTAATCTGTATCAAACCACTCTGTCCACTGGCATCGGGGCTGGCAAGTCACGTTGGGAGTACTGGCCCTGGTGGGTGTGGACCACATCTGTGAAGTCAAGGTGGATAATGTTTGGGGGGGCATTGTGGAAGCTCTAGCCGTGGCCATGGATCTTGTGGTGGGTGGACTGGTCCTCACGGCCGTAGACCCACCACAAGGCACGTAGCTGCAGCACAGCACTCGGATCTCATAATCATGGCACAAAGGTGGGCTCTGCTCTGCATTATAGCACAGTAGCCCATGGGACAGGCTGCACTCCACCTTCTGTCCCACTTCTCCTAGTGAGATGCCAGGAAATGCCCGGGCCCTACACTCCACATCACGGGCTGTGGAGCAGATTTGGTATCCGCTTAGCCGTAGGTCCTCAAATGTCTCAAAGTCTCCACTGTCGAGCCCTGAGCCTGGCGTGCTGCTGTCATACCAGTTAGACCACGTGCAATCTTCTTGCACACACACTGTGGAAGTGGCCGAGATAGTGGTGGCGGGCCCTGAGCAGGGAGAGAGAAAGGGAAATCTCTTGTGGAACCTGTTCTCTTAGAGGAGGTAGCCCCTGGTACTGATGCCAACCCCACGTACATTTCCACAGCACCAAGGACTCTCTTCACAGTCGCACTTTAGCTCTTTTATCAGAGGAAGAAATGGTGACTCCCAGTGGAAAGCAGACGGAGAAGAGGACATGTGCCAAAATGAAAGGCCCTGGGCTTGGAGGCAGGGAGCTCTGAGTTTGAATCCCACCTCAGGCATTTCCTTCCCATGTGGCTGGAGGCTAGTCACTTCAACCTGTTTGTGCCCATGCGGGATGATAATATCTTCTAGCTCATGGGCTTTTTGTGAAATTCATATGAGATCATGTCTGTGGGCTGCTTACGGAAAGGCTCACTGTCCTTGTTATGGCCCCATAGTCAGGCTGACAGGAAATGTCAGGGCTGGGATCATGTGGCCTCTCAGAGAGATCTCATCACACCCACCTATGGCTGACATCCTGCTGGCACAATATTACTTCCCCTGGGGCACTGACCATCACCTTCCCTGGCAATGATCCCAGAGATCACCAGCTGGAGGACTTTCAAAACTTGGCTGGCAGCAGGACCTCCCAGGCCAGGTGACATCAGGCTCAGTGACCACCCTCAGCTTCTCCAGAGGAGCTATGTGCACATGGAGCAGTGAAGGAGCAGTAGATATCCCAGCCGGTGGTTCTGAGAGCTCTGGGGCTCCAGGGAAGCTACCAATAGCCAGCAGGACCCAGAGGACCAGGGATCGTGGTGGTCAGAGCCCCAGGCTGGCAATCAAGAGCCCAGGCATCTGATCCTGGCTCTGCTCATAACTAGCCAGGCGATGCAAGGCAAGTCCTTCCTTCTCTCTGTGAGACTGGGGTGGGGGGTGGCCTGGAAAACCATCAAGGTCCTCCCAGCTTTCCCATTCTGGGATTCTAATCATCCAAGTTAGAAAGAGAAAGTTTAATCCCTGCTGTGGACATTTCTGAACACTTGGCCAAATAAATGGGCATGTCAGGGATCTGCTTGGTAACAGTCTCAGCTTTTGGGCTCTTAAATAGGCTGGGATCTGTTGTTATCATTATTATTATTATTTATTTTTAATCATCACCATCACAAGTGACCACAGGGTGGTTGGCCTGGGAGGAACTGTAGAGCCTCTTTCAGCCAAATGCTTCATTCCACCCAGCCTCAGAGGTTACCTGCTGTGGACTCTGGCATCCTGCTGGTAGTGAAGGTGAATGGTGCAGTGGTGGAGTGCATCACGGGGCATTCTTTGGACATGCGTTTGATCTCCCCATTGTCTCCGCAGATGGCAATAAGACAGGCTCCCAGGCCATCCGTGGTGTTGTAGATAACCTCGTGGATATGGTACGTGTGACCCTCATACAAGCAAGTGCACTCTGAAAAGCCAGGAAACCAAATGGCATCATTTGATGCATGTCCGAGGAACTGGGAGTCCCTGTCCCCAGGCATCTGGGCAGCTTACTCACCATTTTGGTCTGGGGTACACTGTATGCCGCTTGTGGTACAGTTACTAGGAGTGAAAAGGAGAAGGGAAAGAATGTGGGGCATGGGAAATAAGCCCACAAGGACAATAGCCAATGACAAATCACAGGCTGCCACCCACAGCTGGGATGCATTCCCTCTTCCCCTTCATATCTTGAATCCTTAGCTTTCTTCAATGTATAGAGCTCAGGTGCTGCCTTCCACAAGAGACCTTTCCTGTTAG